TCTGGATGACTCCTGAAATGGCAGGGAAGGATGTTTTCAGTATTAATTGCTCAGCCCCGATCCCAGGGGCTTCAGCATTAGCTTCCCTGCAGTGCACTTTATTAAAAACTGGAAGTGCTGGTGAGTCAGCTGCAGAGTGTGTGTGCAGCTCCCCGAGACCCTGGCCTGGCAGCTCCATCCCAGGAACCCGAGCTCTGCTGAGACCTGAAAGCTGCTGGAAACACGTGGCTCATTCCCTGGGGTGTTGTGCTGAACTGATAAACCCTGCAGGGAAGGCAAATATCCCCGTGGCAAATGCAGCGACCTTGCACAGGAAACACTGATCATCCTCCCTTCCCCCAGAAGGAGGGGAGCAGATTCACTTTGAGCTTATCCCCCCTCCCTGCTCACAGCACTTTCTTGGGGTGTTGCTGACAGAAAGCAGGAAGAGAAAGGGATGCAGCACATCCAGTGGAAGACAGAGCAGTCCTGCGTGGCTGTGCTGTGTGATTCCTAACTCCCCCAAGCCTCTGGGCCAGCAGGTCCCTCCTGCCCTCCCTCAGCAGGCCCTTAGGAATCTGAGTAGCAGATTATCGTGTTCTGTAAAATGTGTAAGGGAGCAGCAAGAATAGGGCTGCTCCACTTGGGGATGTGAGCGCCAGGAGCCAAGGGCAGCAGGCACAGACAGTGCCCTCACCAGCCAGGGCACAGTCCTGCTGGTCCAAAACTGGGTGGGCAGAGCAGAACTGGTGATAACTGGGGATATTGGCCATTCCAGGGAAGGCAGAGTGACAGGCACATCCAGGGTCTACCCAGGGAGTCCAGCTGGGAGCAGCATGAGATGGGAGCAGAGGCAAGGCTGGAAGCAAGGGTAAAGCCCACGCTCAGTGCCCAGGACACGGGTACAGTGAGCTCAGGCAAGGTGTGGGTGCCAGGCCTGGAGGAGAGAGTTCTCCAGGGGGGTCCCAGGCAGGGCTGACTGGGGCAACTGGGACTGGTGCCCTCAGAGTCCTGGGAAAATCCCTGCTGTCAGGTGGAGGCCACGCGGAGCTCTCCTTGGAAACAAGCCCAGAACAGGCGGTTCTGTCCTAGGTGGTTTGATCTATCACCTCCATTTCTTTTCTCTGGGTGTGTTTTCCTGGCCCAGCAGTTCCAGCGCTGTCCAGGAGAGAGCAGGGATGGTCAGAGCCCTTATTTCACAGCTGGGTCTGAGGGCAGTGCAGTAGCAAACCCCGAGTAACAGCTCAGTGGCCAGTTAAGATCACTGCTGGGACACGTGGCAGTTCACAAGGTTGAAATACGGCCTTTCACCACGACAGTTCCTTAGTTCTTTGAAAAGTTAATGGTGTAAGTCAGGCATCCCATTGTGCCCGTGGACTGTGCCCCATCCCAAGAAATTCCAGTGCTTCTCTGTGTCTTTTCTTCTCTCACTAATCTTCCCCAGTGAGGATTCAGCCAGACACACTCAGTGTACATCAGAACCAAAACACCCTGTAAGACACCATACTTTTCTTCGAGGTGTTTCTACACTACAGACACTACAGAACCCAGCACTGCCTTTGAAGAGTTCCAGGAACGTTTCTCCAGGTATTTAAAGGTGGATCTGAGCAGAGGCATTGCAGTCCAGGCTCTAATCCCAGAGAAACCCTTCTAGCGCTGCCAGTGTTGATGTTAAAAGCAAACTAGTCTGAGAAAATGCTTCCAAGTCATTTTAACTCCCTTTTGCAAACGCTCTCCGTGCCTGCCATGTGTCTGGGATAACATCCCTCTTGCCTCTGTTCAAGTACAGATCTGTAGCTCATTTTTGCTTGCTTTGGGATTTGGTTAACAAGGAGTCATTTTTTTCCTGCTGTTTAAAGCCTCATTTACCTCCCCTCATGGGCCATTTTAGCCACTCCAGTATATTTGAAGTGGTACAGCCCTCCCACCACGGGGACTGGTGGAGTGGGATCTTATATAAGGGTATGGCTCTTATAGAAACAGCTGTGCCAGGAGGAGGGACCTGGTGCTGGTAAACCTGTGTCCACAGTATGTTTGGAACCACCACTACTAGTCTGACCTAAAGTACTGCATTCTTGACCTGCTTGCTCATCCTGTGGAGAACGAAAGACCTTAAATCTAAAGTTATACAGAAACCTATAGGCACTGCCCTGAGAGAGAATGCAGTGCTCTTTATGGATGGTATCCTAAAGGTAATTGCTCTGAAAGGTTTCCCCTTGTCAGAAGTGCCTCTCTTTGAGCAGTCCTTGATCTCCTCTCCCAGCACACCACGCTGCTCAGGATTTGTTTGAAACACTCCGTGTCTTCCTGCAGCTCTGGCCCCTCAGCCTGTCATTACTCAGCTGTCTCCTCAGTGTGTCCTCACAGGGAGCCGTGCTGCTCATGGGAATTGAGGTTGGGACTTGTGACTTCCCGGGGAGCCAGAAGTGTTTCTGCAGGCTACAAGGGCTCAGTATGTTGGATGTTAGAGTTTTGGATGACTAATTCCTACAAAACACTGGCAGGCTTCCTCGTAAACAGCACTCCTGAGCAGCAAGTTGCTGGAAGAATGGCTTTTAAAACTCGAGCCTGCCTGGTGCCCAGATGTTCACAGCCATTAGAGACCCTGGCAGCCAGTTTTCTGATACATCCCATTCTAACTCAGCTATTCTTATTCTGTCTCCCCAAATTCCCTTTGGAATTTCAGCTCGGCATTTGTTTCCTCCCTGCTCCCAGTTCTGTTATGAAGTTGTGCTGACCTGTTAAACTACTGCCACACTGGACTCAGAAAGCAGCAGCATTTCTGCAACATCCAGTGAGAAATGGAAAAGGAGTTCATTTAACAAGAAGGGAATGGGCCAGACACCTGCCCTGCTCTCTCTGCCCCAGTAAAGCTGGCAGTGTGCTGCCCAGTTTTACAGCCCATGCACCATTTTAAGCAAAAGTCATCTCAGGATTCCAGCCTCCCTGCTGAAGCAGGGACAGTGGATGGGCTGAAGCCATGGATTTATAGCATTTGCCATTCTGTAAGTGCAGAGGCCATGGCTTTAGCTGCCAGTACTCCAGGGCCAAGGGAAATGTTAGCACTGAGGGTGCAGGGATGCCTGTGTGAGCTGTGTGAGGTGCTCGGTGCCTTCATGGATCAGAAGTGGGTCTGTAAAATGGCAGAAAACTTGGGGGTTGAAAAAAAAATGCCCCCCTGCCTTCTTTGGCCAGGACTGTTGGAGCCACAGCCTAGGCATGGAGGTGCAAGGGGCAAGAGGATTCACTCTTGCTGAGGCAGCCCCGTGGCCAGACCCTTCCTGCTGCCCTGGACAGAGCCACAGACACCCTTTGCCCTCCTTTGTTCCCGACCCCTCTTTGGGCTGCAGCTCCTCACACACTCAGCAACTGCAGGGCCAGGAGCAGTCACCAATGGCCACATTGTCTCCTGCCCCTCTCTCTTGGCTCGAGGGTAGTTTTTCCAGGGGAGCAGGTTCCTGCTTTGTTAGGAGGTGAACCCAGACAGGCTGGCGCCAGCAGGGAGCAGGGAGCAATCTCTGCTGGGCCGTGAATGTGCTGCTTCTCCTGTGTCTGCTCTGCTGGCACTGGTGTGGCTTTGCCCTTCTTGTTGCAAAGTGAATCAGGCCTGTCTTGCATAACGTAACTGAATCTGGCCCGGTAACACTAACCCTGTCTTTGTCCACGTGCTTATCTCCCAACCAGGCATCGACTCCTCCAGAGGTCCCAGCTCTGTGCCACAGCTCCCAGTCAGCAGGGCTATGCTTTGTCACTGTTTGCCACCCTAAGATTACTGAAAACTTTCCATCTGCATCAGTGGCTCTCAGAACCGTTTGCAGAGGTCATCCCCGCCCATCCCACTGTGCTTGCACACCTCCAAGAGCTGCCCAGGAAACCCGGGGGTCCCAGCACTGCTGGGCACTGGTGCTGAGGCTGACGAGTGGAGGTCACACGAGTGTTCCTTGGCTGCTTGACAAGCCACCAGCAGGCCTTGTGTGCAGTGACCTTCCTAGTTGCTGTGTATATGTGTCTGCACAGCTACATCCACAGCGTTCACACCTTCCTAGGAACAGAGAGGAGGCTGAGGAGTGCTCGGGTCACGTGCTGCCATGAGTGTCACGTAGCACAGGCATTTTTCACATGCCTTGTAAGAGCAATGTGTGATGACAGTGCATTTACTTTACAAGGTTTTATGGCAAGGACTTGCTAGCAGATAATACCCACAGGATGGCAAATGTACCTTGAGCTGTTCCATGAACTCAAGCTAATCAGAATAATCATGAATCTTACGCTGGTTTTTCTCCCTGTGCCATGATGTAATTGCTGAGGTGCTGGCTGTGTGAGTTGCAGTGGCAGAGCACAAGGTGTCCTGGAGGAGCCTCTGCCTTCCACTGGCCTCTCCTTGCAGGTTATTGCTGCTCTCAAATGAGACCATTTGTAGTTGTCTCAGCTCCCTGAAAAAAAGCCTCGTTTTACACTGAGAAGAACTTGCTGTCCGGACATTATCAACTTAATTTTCTGCCCTTCCCACTTCCTCAGGTAATGATCGCAGGTCCTGACCATTTCCTAAATTGCTGGGGAGTGATTTTCCCCACTCTGAGACCTTGCTGCTGGTAACCTTGCTCAGGCAAGGTTTTTCCAGTCTTCTACCAGTTCCCTGTTAAAGTCCATTTCCCACTGGAGTAATCACTTCCTTCAGATCCTTCTCCCACGTGTGGATCATTGTGAAAATATCCCAGTGCATCACCTCAGTTTATCCCAGGTTACCAGCACATCAGACTGTCTGGCTTCCTTGCTGGAAAGAGTACATGGAATCTGGAAGAACTCTGGCCGAAGTAGGTAATGTCAGATGACTAAATCTGTGCTTATTTTTCCACATGGAGCTTGCCCAGCTCCTCCAAAACACCACAGAATTAAATTGCCAGTTTAACATACGGGGGTGCTTTAAACGTGGATTTTTGGGGGTAACGTTGGGTGCTTTTCCGAGCCGTGTCCGTGAGGCCGTGTCCCGGTGCTGAAGCTGTGCCTATGTGTCTCTGCAGAACGACTCCTGGGGGAAGCAGTATTCCTACGCGCTCTTCAAGGCCATGAGCCACATGCTGTGCATCGGCTACGGGCAGCAGGCGCCCGTGGGCATGTCGGACGTGTGGCTCACCATGCTCAGCATGATCGTGGGGGCCACCTGCTACGCCATGTTCATCGGCCACGCCACCGCCCTCATCCAGTCCCTGGACTCCTCCCGCCGCCAGTACCAGGAGAAGGTAAGCACTGGGCTTGGCAGCCCGTGGGGCTTGCTGCGCTCTCAGTGACCCTGAGGTGCGGTTCCCTGGGAATTCATCCCGATCCATTCACTCCAACAGACCCTCCGGAAGAGACAGGTGCAAGATCAGATGAGGAGTAGTAATGCAAGGGGGTGATTTTTGTTGTCTCTGCCTGCCTTTTTTAGATCGACGTTATCAATGTCACTGCTATCTGAAATCCTCAGTCGCTCTTTCCGAGATCTTGTTTCAAACCCCAAGTGAATGTTCCAGAATGTGCAGCTTTTGTTTAGCAAGTACTCTGTTAAAAGTATCCAGATTATTCACTTCAGTGCTCATGAGTGAAGCTACAGAACAAACCCCAAGGCCCAGATCAAAGCTGGGAGCTCGGAGCAGGTTCCCCGGGTAGCTGTGGAATTAATTGCACCATTGTTGAACTGCACAATGGAGGGCACAGTCAGAAATGTCACAGCTGATCAGGCTCCCACTGCCATGGCAGCCACAGGTGCTGCTGGGTTTGAGGGGATGCTGTAAATCTGTGAGATGGTCAGGGTGTCCCAAAAAAGCACCTTCCCTCAGATAGTGGGGCTGGGGAAGCCATAGGTGAGGAGGTGTTACAGTCAGGGTCTTATGGATACATTTCATCTGGAGGCTAAGAGGAACTGGTCCTATTCTGACCTTGCCAGGTGCAGTCAGAGTAGGTGAAAGAGGAGCTGTGATTCAAGTGAGGAAATTATGGTGAGCATGCACAGTCCAGGTGAATTTTGTGTTGAGGGAGGAGGTGGGATGGCCTAGGAACAAGTTTCAGATGTGGGGATTACAATGCTGGGCCATGGAAAGAGAACGGGGCAGAGAGGGAGAGCAAAGATGACCAGAGGCTGACTCATGCTTTGAGTCACAGCTGGAGCCAAAAGAAGGAGAAAGCCTGGGAGAAGAGCATGGAGGACTGGGATGTATCCAGAGCACTGGGCCTTGTGTAGAGTTTTCCCTCTCTGTTACAGCTCAGACTAATTCTAATGGGCAGCAAGGCATGCCAAAGAGAAGGACAATGCAGCACCTGGAATGCAAGCTGATCAAATCTCTGGATGCGGAGTATTTATTCAAATGTGTTTGAAGCAGCACAGAAGTCAAGGACTGATTTGCAAACCAACCACCTGGCCAGCCTAGAGCGGCCAAGGTTACACCTGCAGCACTGGGCACCACGGGCTTTGTCTCGAGCCAGGTCTGAAGACAAGGGCAGAAACTGACCCTGGAAGTTGGATTCCCATCAGTGCTCAGGGAAACCAGTCCCCAGGAAGCCAGCAGGGACTGCAGTGGGGCTGGCAGAGCAGCGGGAAATCTTGGAGCCCTATTGGAATGTGGAGACGTGAATGAGAGGGTTAATGGATACAGGGGAAGAGCTTTGTGACAAGAGCAGCAGATAGAGGATTTCACACAGGGTGTATTTCATATGTAGTGGTTTTAGCAGGTTCATTTCCCAAGTTTTTCTCCTGGGATCAAGGCCTCAGGGATTGAATACGTTCATTTTCCTCTTGCAAATGGGACAAATGATAGCCTAAAAACAAATATGTATTTGCTTTCTGCATTCCTTAGCACTTGAATAGCCATGATTAAAATGAGGCTGCTCCGTGATTTGCAGCCCTGCAACTCAATTTAGTTCAGTCCTCATGGGACAAAGTGTCTGGTGAAGCATATTATAGAGAGAATCTCAACAAGTTTGGAGGTCGATTGGTAGAAGCAGCAATTGAGGCACCTCTGCTGAGGGCACCCGTGGGCTCTGCCTCTCTCCTCAGCACAGCTCAGCCTACAGGGATTTTGGGAGCTGTTTTGGGAATAGCCAGAAAAAGGGGAGACGGTGAGGAGGGAGGGGAACAGCAGGAACAGCAAACAGGAGAGGAGGTTGTAGCTGGTAACTGTACTGAGAGGCTTTGCTTGGTGTAACCCTTAGGACAAGGTTCAGGAGCGGGTTTTTGGTGAGGTTTCAGATTGTCTAGACCTCTGCCAAACCAACTTGTTCTTCCCTTGTACAAACAGGGCTTTTGAGAAGAGGAATAAAAGCCAAGCCATGCTGTCTGTTGGCTTCAGGAGGAGAGTTTGCCTCCCTCTGCCTTGGATTCATTGAACATTTGGACATTCAATCCCTGTCCTGTCTAAATCCGCTCCCGTAGCATCTCACTTCATGCTGTGCTGCTTTCTGCAAGGCAGGGAAGCTGGATGGGATCAATGATGTGCCAGGAACCATGGAGAATTTGGAGAGGGAAGTTGCCCCTCCAGGGCAGTGCAGTGCTGAGGTTCCTGAGTACAAGTGGGGAATCCCCTGTGGCACAGAGCGCTCACACCACCCCAGGCACTGCAAGGGGCACAGCCACCGTGCAGGTCTGGCCCTGGCCTCCCTTGAAAAGCTCTGGCTCAGAACAGCTCTCTAGATCAGGCACTCTGATGTGACTGTTTGATTTCCAGTTCCAGAGGCAAAGGTAAAAGGGACCTGTGTGTCACATCCTGCATTGCAGAGTTATTGTGGTCACAGAGAGAGTCAACGGCAGGATCAGCAGCCGACTCTTATCTCTTAACCTCAGCCTGGTGTTGAACTGCACAATATCTTTGCACCCAAGACTGGTGTCTGTTTGCTGCGAGAGAATGCCCCTATGGGTCCATCCTGAAGGATTCTGATAGAAACATTTCCCAAAGTCTTGCTGTGCAGTTCCATGTTATGACTGAATCAGCCTCACAGCTTGAACCCAGGGGGGGGATGCCCCACATACCTGATCTCACCCTGTGCTCCCTACCACCCTTCTCAGCTCTGCTTTTCCTGCTCATACTTCTCAGACCTTCACTACACTCCAAGTTCATCACTGGCTGCAGAAGTACCCCACGGCCTGCAGTAACTGTGGCTCACATGAGAGGGAAAGTGTTTCCTGCCCAGGAGAGGAATAAACTTGATGGATATGCAAGTTATTTTCATGCTTTTTGCAGGTTCTCCTATTAATTTCTTTCCCTAATCCTAGAGCTCAGCTGGATTAGTACTTCTGCCAAGTCACCACACACACACACACACACACAGACACACACACTCTCATCCTCCCCAGCAGACTCAGTAACCTTGAGGCTTTGGGGAGGGTGATTGTGCTGTTTTCTGCAGCCACACTCCTTGGAACAGAGCAGAGACATTCTGGGCTCCTCTCCCCCATCCCAGCAGGACGCAGGCAGTGATGGGCACTGTGCAGGGAGGCTTTGGCTCTCCGTGTCATCTCCCCAGGTACACACAGAGGAGTGACTGAGGAGAGGTGGGAATTGCTGCTGTCAGCGCTGCAGAGCCCAGCAAAGCCGTAATCTCTCCTTCCAGATCCTCATCTCTCCTCAGGATCTCTGCTACACTGGCACTCTCTCCAGCTCTCTGCTCTCCACATTCATTGCCCTGCTCCTCCTCCTCCCTCTCCCTGAGCAGTTTATCCACAGCCTCTTGTTCTTAAAATATATCTGGGCAGATCCTTGCATATTCACTTGTCATTATTCTGAAGAAACACGTGCTGCAGCACAGTTGCAAGGGGACAAGCAGGTAACACTGAAGAGAGAGTCACTCTATAAACCCTGCAGAGCACTGGTGACATCACCTCTCAGTTCTGACAGAGCCCTGCCCAACCATCAGCACAGCCCTTCTGCCCACAGTTTATCCCATGGTCTGGCTATGCAAGCACTTTGTTGTCCAACTATCAAGATTCAAGCCTGAGTTCAACAATGAGTAATTGGGGAAAATTTAGTCATTTTAAAGGCTGAAGTATAACAACTGCAGTGTTCCATCTCTGTTAGAGATGTTGGACCAGTATTTGTTGGAGGGGGATTCAGACACTGCCCTTGTGCCGGCAGTGAGAGCTGAGAATCTGTCTGGGCTCAGGTCTCTGCTCTTTCTCAGAGACCAACAGCACAGAGCCTTATTGGGCAGCAGGTTTAAGGAGTTATTTGGGCTGTTTTATGCTCTGTAATGAAACTGTGGAACTCACAGCTGCAGGGGGCTGTGGAGGTCCAGAGTTTGATTAGCTTCAGAATATTTAGACAAATTCACATGAGGAAAACCTTTCAAGTGCTGCTGACTGCTGAGGTGCAGATACAGCCCCGGGCAGTGGGCATCCCTAATGTGCTCCTGTCAGAAAAGCCAGGAGGGTGAGGGCGGGAGCTGGAGTGCTCTGTGCCTCTCCTAATCCTTCTCCTCCTCCTCACATGAACCTGCCAGACACACACACCGGGTGAGAGGAGCCCTCAGGCTGCCCCTTCACAGCTGCCTCGGTGCTTTAGGCTGGTTTACTGTGCAGTTTGGTGTTCTGAGCTGCCTCCAGTGGGTGTGTGCAAGGAATTGGGTGCAGAGATCCGAGCTGGGGTCCTGGATGCAGGATAATCACATTATCCTGGCAACTTGCCCTTGCTGATTAGCCCCTCCTCCGCTCCCCCTCAAGCTGAGCTAATTAACCCGAGCCCAGCCTGTACTGAAGCTGCATTAATTCTCTTGGCTCCAGGGCTGGCTTAGCCAGGGCTGCCTGAGGGACAGCAGGGCACAGACACACTGAGGTACCTCGTGTCAGCTGCTCTGAGCCCGGAGCTGGGCACAGACTGCCGGAATTCCCACACCTGCCCTGCCACAAAGCTGGCAGTGGGAAACTTCATTACCATTCCGGGCAGGATTTGAAATGACATTCCCAAGTGCCTGAAGGTTCTCAGGTGGCATTCCCACATTCCTAGAGTTCAAAGGGGTTCTGTAAAACTGCCCTCCTGAGCTAACATCCGTTCTGATGTCAGGAAAGCTGCAAAGCTCCCGTACTCCTGTCGTAATAATGTGTGTGAAGGAGAGGGTACGGAGTGTGCAGCACTTCAGAAATTAAAGGTGTTTGGAAAACTTAATCAAATGCAAAATGCCATCAGATTTCCTAATTGGAAAAAGTGTGGAGAGCTTTGCTTCCTCCTGCCCTGACTGCACTGGTTGTGTGTTGCCTCAGTGTGTGCAGAGGTGGCCT